GGCGCCGCCGAGGCGAGGGGCACCAGCGGCGGTGCGGCACGCTGTGGTTGCCCATGAGACAAGGCCTTTTTCGGGGGCTGGGGAGGGTGCCCGGGAGGCTGCAGGGTCCCTGTCCCCCCGAGCAGGGAGGGGGCCGCCCCAGGGGACCCCCCCTCGCCTCGCTGCTGCTCCCAGCGCGCAGGGAGAGACGTCTGCTGGTGTCCCCCCTCCTGTCCCTCCGCCTGCTGTCATTGCGGGGGGCAGAGCCACGGCAGAAAGCGTCCCCGGGGGGATCTGTGCCCTCCCTGCTCGGGCGGAGGGGATGTGACCCGGGAGGGATGCTCAGAGGGGCCTGTCACCTGCCGGGCGGCTCCTCTGCAAAACCCGCGGGGCTCAGTGTGCGCGGCCGACCGGGGTGCCCCGTAGCTGTGTCCCCTGGGCAGGAGGTGAGTCGCCCCCCCGGGCACCAGCTCTGGACCAGGCCGCAGCCGTGGGGCTTGCACCCCAGCAGTGACGGCAGCCCTGCTCACCGGGAGCAGCCTCGCGGTGACGCCGGTGTGAAGCAGCCGGTGGTGCCTGAGGAGCGAGGGGATGGAGCCCACTTCCCGGGTGACCCTCGCCGGGCAGGTCTTGGGGCGTGTGGGCAAGCACAGACACCCTGCTCCAGATCCCTGCCTGGATGTTGTCCTTCTGATGGGGACGATGGCAATCAATCATCACCGGGGGGGGGGCAAGTCCCACCAGGAGCCAACCCGGGGCACGGCTCTGGAGCGGGCACATGGGCACCAGGGGCTCTGTGCAGCCGCTCCCACGGGTAGCGTCAAGGGGCCCCACAGCACCCCGATCCCGTTTGTCTTGATTCCTGGGGAGGGAAGTGCAGAGGCCTGAATGGCTGCTTTCGGGATCAGCCAGGCGATTTTCCAGCCTGGCGTGTCTGCTTGGCCGAGGGCTGAGGATGAATCCCTGGTGCACGTGCCACATGCGAGGCAGGACGCGCGTCATGACCGTCACCGGGTTAATGGCCGGCATCCCGCTCCGCCTGCCAGTGTGCCGCCGGCACCCACGGCCACACGCCCCATCCAGCGGGCTGTACTCCGCAGACGCAGGCAAACCCAGGTGGGAGCAGGAGGGGGAGGCTGGGATGCGCCGGGGCTCGGGGTAGTGGGACAAGTGCTTGGGAGTGGGAGGGGAACCATACAGTGTGACAGTGCAGAGTATTGGCAGCAGCGTGTATGGGGCACGTGGTAAGCTCTAGGATTTCACGGGATGGTGGGATAGCTCTGGGGAGGGATGGGGTCGGGATGCATGGGGGCCACTGCTCATGGTCTGCTTCTCCTCCACGGCAGGGCTTGGTGGGGCCAGCCAGGCACCGGGGCGCCGCTCTCCTGGCGGCATGGAGGCGCGGTGCCAGCGCAGCGTGGCATTTGACTGCATGCCCCAGCCGGCAGCCTGCTGCCCTGACTGGATGGCGGGGCTCCCCCCTCCCTCCCCCCCGCCTCTCCATCCCTGGCACCCACGACTCCCTCAGCCTGTTTGGCGGCCGGCGCCTGCGGTGCCAGAGCTGGGGCCTGGAGGCCCAGCTGGCAGCCGGCATCCGCTTCCTGGATGTGCGCTGCAAGCTGGCGCGGGGCGAGCTCCACGTCTACCACCTCTGCACCTTCCAGCGGGCCAGCCTGCGGGGGGTCCTGCGCCGCACCCTGCGCTTCCTCCGCGCCCACCCTGGCGAGGCGGTGCTCATGCGCATCAAGGAGGAGCTGCCCATCTTCCACCGGCCTGGCTTCGCCGGCCGGCTGCACCGCTGCTTGCTGGAGGAGGGACAGGGCCGCGTGTGGTGCCGGGAGGAGGTGCCAACGCTGGGCCAGGCACGGGGGAAGATCGTGGTGCTGGAGGCGCTGGCGCGAGAGGTGCTGGGCATCCCCTACGAGCAGCTGAGCATCAGCGACGCCTGGAACGTGCTCTCACTGGAGCGCAAGTGGGCCCGGGCGCGGCGGCACCTGGAGAGGGCGGCCGGCGGGGACCCCGCCACCATGCACCTCACCTTCTGCTCTGGCAATGGGCTCTTCACCTGCCCCGAGGAGGTGGCCCGCTTTGTGAACCCCCGCTGCTACCAGCACCTGTGGCGCCGGAGGGGGCAGCCCGTGCGCTGGGGGGTGGTCATCATGGACTTCCCAGGGGCAGGGCTCCTGCGGCTCATCGTGGAGAGCAACACCCCGTGGGCCAGTGGACACATCACAGCGGCCCCTGGCACCCCCACAGTACCCTCGCGGCACCCCCGCGGCAGAGGGGACGGGCGTCGCAGATGGCACAGCTCCGCTCGCTTCCCGCGCCGGTGTCCATCGGGACGGATGCTGCTGCCAGCCCCACGCCCCTGCCGAAGGACGTCAGCGCCCGTAGAGAAAAAGCGGGTTTCTGGCTCTTGCTGCGTGCCTGGAAGCCTTCCCGTGACGATGGTGTGACATCGCCAGCGGTGGCAGAGGAGGGTTGGCAGCTGTGGTCGGAACCAGGCAGCCCGAGGAGCTGCCCCCTGCACGCCGCTCTCCCCTGAGGAGCCAGGTATGGTCCCAGCACAGGGCTAGGCCAGCCGAGCCCCCGGCAGAGCAGCAGGGACAGGTGGAGGGAGAAGGTCCTGCCTTGCCTATTCTCGGGCCAGTGAGTCCACCCGAAATGCCTCTCTGCAAAACAGTCCTTTTCCTGTCAAGGGTAAATAAAAATAAAAAGAAGCTAGGAAAGCACTCACTGCGTTGCCTTGCCATTTCCTAGCAGAAACAACCTCTTGCTTTTGCTGCTCAGCTGTGAAAGAGCCTGCGCCCCTCTGCCCATGGCCAAAGCACAGTTAAATTGGTGTTTGTAACCATCTTGCTCTTAAAGCAGAGCCGCAAGAGGTCAGAGGAGGAGGAATTCATTTTAAAGGTGACAACAAATGGTTAGGGACATCCTTCCCCTCATTATTTTAGCTTTTGTTTTTTTTCTTGCAGGGGCTTGCCCCAAAAGTCAGGACTGTTAGAGAGAGGCAGCCTCAGCAGGTGCCACCGACCTCGTGCATGGAGAGCTGGATGGCCACAGCAGCGGCATCTCAGATGGGGCTACCCCGTCCCTGGGATCACACACCAGGGGAGCGCTGCACAGGGCAAAGCCTGGTGCTTTGCAACAGTGCGGGCAGCATGGACAGGGCAGTTTGTAGATGCACAAAAGCAAAGTGCTTGAGACATAAAAAAGACCTTAAAACACATGTTGTGCCAGCGCCTGCCCTACCTGCAGAAAACAAATCAGCAATTTAAATAGACTGTCAAGTTGCAGGACACAGTAGCTCCTTGGAGCAGAAAGATAACCAATATCCCAGAGGAGAAAGCATCAAACTGCTGGCTGCGCTGAAGCAGGGAGGTGAGAAGAGGAAAGCTCAGCCCTGGCCTGCCAAAAGGTGAAGAACATCCTCAAGGATGCTTCTGTCTCAGGGGAAAACGCAGCTGGGCTCAGTGCCTGCCGGAGGGGGTGCCACAGGATTTCCTGGCCGGAGGAGAGGACATTGTTTGCTCCGCAGGGGCTGGCCCTGGCTGGAGATAGAGCTCTCGGTGCTGAGTATGTTCATCCGCTGGCCCTGCGGTGGCTCTGCTCGGGGAGCAGGGGAGGACAGAGCCCATGCTGCCAAGAGCCGGACGGGAGGGGAGGGGAGCAGGCAATAATAGTGCACAGGGGGTGACAGGGGTGACAAACAGGAATCTGTCTCTGGGCTTGCTTTGTTAGACAGGAGAAGATTGAAATCTCTGCATTAAACCAGATGCGACAAAAGCACTGGTGACGTCTGGGGTGCTAGCGGCCTGCTCCAGTGGCTGCCAATGCCTCCACTGCCTTGGTTGCCCCCGCGCCAAGCCAGCATGACAGTTCTAGGTATCGCTCTCATGCCAGTAGGACGGGTGCCATTGAGGCAGGGCCAGGCAGGTCGGTGGCCCATCCCGGTCTTCCCGGGACACACAGTGCTGTGGGGAGCTGGGCAGGGTGCAGGCAGAGCAGTCGCAGTTCCTAGGAGCAGCTCTGCATGCTGGGTGGTTCTGCTCTTTCTTAAGGCAAGGGCTGCCTGCGTGGCTGTGGGGCTGCCCCTGGATGCGGCACATCCCCGGAGCTGCACCCCAGCACCCCGTACCCACCTTGTGCCCCGGCTCACTGGCAGGGCAGAGGCACTGCCTGGGATTCCCCAGCTGGGCAGAGCCACTTGTTTACTCCCTACCACAAAAGCAGTGAGATAACTTCAGCATTATCTACGCCCCCGGCATCCTGTTTGGCAAACCCTTATCTGTGCCATGCATGTGTTGCTGCTGCCAGGCGCCAGGGAGCCAGCAGGCAGCGCGGGCAGGGGTACGTGGCTGGCAGCGGTGCCCAGTGAAAAGGCTCTCCCATCACCCATGTGGCAGGGGAAAGGTGCAAGGCAGAAAGCTGTCCTACAGCTGAGATCAAGGAAACGTCTCTGAGAGGGACCAGGTGGGGTGGGCAGGAGTGATTTGCCCAACACTACCCCTGCATCCCACAGCCGGGGCTGCCCCAGTGCTGCGAAGTCCCTGTGCGTGGGGGTGCAGGGTGCCATGGCCCCTGGGCTGTCTTGCCACTCCAAGCCAGTGTGGCACTCAGATAAGGCCTCTTCCTGTGCCCAAACACTTTCAAATTGTGAGAAAGATTTTATTGGGCGCTGGGTTCCTCCAGGGCCATCGGAGGAGGGTCCAGGTGCTCAGGCTGCAGGCCAGGCATCGCGCTGGGAGACGTGCCCAAAGGCACCCTGCAGCTCAGCGACACCCTTTGGGTCAAACATCCCCTGGGGACCTGCAGTGGGGGGTAGCTGTCCCCTGCCTGCATTCAGGAGGTGCCTCTAAAGCCTCAGGGAGAGCCACCTCAGTCCCCAGGGTGGAGCAGGGGAATGGCAGCAATGGGGCTGCACCCCGGTGGGGTGTGGGTCCTCACCAGCACCATGCCACGCTCCTGCAGGGGTGCCACTGGGTCCCTCCTCGCTCTGGTGGGCTGCTGAGCCCTCCCCGGCGGTGGGGGTGAGGGGGGCTCCCCAGGAAGGTGCACGCTGTATCACTGGCGGCAGCTGAGCTGGGCGGGCTGTGTCAGGGTGACTCGGTTCCTCTGTGGTTTGCAGGGGGACATTGCACAAGGAGGGGAACAGGCTGTGCCACCGTAGGGCGGGAGCCTCTGCTGAAAACAACACGAGTGTGCCTTTGCACGGGGGGGGGGTGTGGCGTGGTGGTGATGGGGCTGCTCCTTGCACCCCTTGCCCCCAGGGTCTTATTCCCCACCAGGTCCTGGGCACTCCCTGGGGACACATTGTGGGGTGCAGCCTGGACTTGGCTCTGGGGCTCTGCAGAGGCTAAGCCCTGGGGCATCCACCCACCTCTCCCAGTGCCCACCTCCCCATACAGCACGTACAGCCCCTGGCACTTTGGGTCCCATCCACACCTGGGCACTCCCAGCGCTGTCGGGATACTCGTGCAGGCATCACAGCCTGCCCTACACATGACACCCTGCCCACAGCACGGTCAAGCACACCAAGAGGGAGCAGAGCATCAGCCTAGGCGGGCAGTGACGGCTACAGCGGCCAAGCTGCTTCCCCCCGGCAAGCCCTGTGGTCACAGCCTGTGGGTGGGTTGCCCAACCGCGCCGGCTGCACAGCACCCTCAGCAGTGGTTTGCAGGTGGCAGTGGGGCACCTGTGCCCCTTCCCCACAGATACAGCCTGCGGCAGGGCTCTCACAGGAGAGAGAGCATCACCTCCATCTGTGGCTCAGGACCAGGGCACAGCAAAGGAAGCACATTTCCATTCCTGATCCTTGCAGAGTCCAGAGGGATAGTGAGGAGGTGACACAGGAAAGCATCTTTGTACCTGCTCCCTCGAGCCCATGCCAAGCAAAGCCCTGGCTTGCAGCTTGCACTGTGCCCTCGGAGAGGCGGCCGGGGGGACAGGATGCACCATCCTGCCATCTGGGAAATCCCTGCGCTGCTCAGCCCGTAAGGCAGGGATGGGCCCTTCCTTCATAAGTGGGGCAGCAGGAGCCCAGTGGCGAGCCTGTGCCCTGCAGCATCCTGAATCCTTCCCAGGGAGCCAGCCTTGGAAACCACCCGAGATGTGAAAGGGCTCCTGGGCAATTAGCCAGCTCCCAGCAGAGCTGCAGAGCTGATTTGGCTCTTCTCTTCCTCCTACTACGTGTACCTTTGTCCACTACCTGCAAAGCAACCCTCAGTACCCATCCTGCCGTGCAGGACCCTCTCTCTGAGCCCAGGTACCTGCAGGCACAGGGTACCTGCCCCCACAAATAGCTTTGAACTTGGCCATGTTCTGCCCCTTGCAGCAGGAGCCTCTGGGTCTCAGCCACCTTGCTTCTGTTTTTAAAACAATAGCAGAAGCTATTTGTAGTTACAAAAATAAAGGTGGGAGTATTTTTTTTCTACTGCTCTGCCCTACCGTGTCGGGTTTCAGCAGAAGTGAAACTGGCAGGGGCAGAGCCTGCTCCCCCCAGGGCCATGCACCCACAAGCATCCCTCTGGCTCCCAGTGGGTCTCCCACCACATCGGAGAGGCAGCTCCCACCCTGCCCAGGTGACCCTCAGCATTTGGAGATGCTCTCCTGTGCCAGCAGCTGCCCCTCAGCCTCTCTGACCGCCTGGCTGCTTCTTCTCTTGCCGTAATTGCACACCCTCTGCACATGAGCTGCTAGAAAGCGAGCGCTCCTGAATTACTGGACATACAGGCTCATCCTCAGCAATTCTATAAAAACAGACGATTGCAGTAAAACATTTTGCAAGGAAGATATCCAGAGACAGGAACCGAGTTTCATTTACATTTGCCAAGTATAAAGTCATTGTAGTGGGTTACGGCTTTTGTGGGATGGGTTCCTCCTTTTGTCTAGCATGAGTCCCACTGGAGCAGCACCAACTTCTCTGGAACTGGAAAATGCATGTGACCTGCATGGCTCTCGTTTTGGCTTTAGCTGGAAGTGAGCAGAGTAATTTCTTCAGGAAGTGTTCCAAGGCAATTTTACTTAGCAGCAGAACAGGGTAAGGAAAGATTTATGATGATTCAAGAATGATCCAAGGGGAGGTGGACACAATGAGGCATGTTCCTGAAGCATCAGTGGAAGTTCATAAAGGATATTAACAACTCAGGGGAAGTTCCTCTGGCATGTTCTTGGACCTTTCTCATAAAGACTTAAAGGCAAAGACAGGAAAATACATTGTGTAAGTAACTGTTTATAAATGGTATATGAAGATTCGCAGCCAGAGCAAAAAGCCTGTGAGTGAGGAGAGCATCCAGCGCAGGAGCCAGGAGGCTGCAAGCCACGCTCCCGCTCAGCCCACGTGGGAGCTCATCCCTCATCCCTCCTCTGTCCTCTGACTGCCAGTGTGGGCACTGCGACATGGACATGGTGGGTCGGAGAGGTCTCGGTGCCCTGGGCTGGACCCTTCTGCACCTCCTGGGGGACTCAGGCAGGTCCGGCTCATTGCGGGTTGGCTCCCATGGCAGCGTGGGGATGCAGCCAGCTCCTGTGCCGTGGGGCAGGTGACGAGTTGAGTCCCGCCAGAGCCACTGCGAGGGCTGACCCTGCTGTTCCCCTCCAGCCCTGGGCTGGGAGCAGGGTCTCTGGGGGTGGGAGAGCCCTGTGGCAGGGGAGGCGGAGGCGTGGGGCAGGATGCGGGCTGGCAGCAGGACTGGGGTGGGAGGGGAAGAGGCCAAGGGCAGGGAGCGATGCTCTGCACGCTCGGAGGAAGTGTGAGCACCGCTGCCCGCCGAGGGCCAGACACGCCTGGTGCTGCCGGTGGCTGGGCAAGGTGCATCTGTGGCGCCGACATGGTAGGTCCTGCTCCTTTCCTTGGGGACGGCTCGGATTCTGCCCGGAAAAGAGGGTTAGGGAAGGGCAGGGCTGCAGGCAGGCGCTGCCAGGAACCAGTGCCGCTACTGGGGACCCATGGGATGGACCCAGGCTGCCCCTGAGAGACCCTGCCCCGGGCAGCGAGGCCATGCCAGGCACACAGGGCACTGGCGCTGCAGAGGCAGCTGCCAGCCCTGGGTGGGGGGAGAGGGGCGGGGGGCACAGGGCATGCCCTGGACTTAGAGGCTCCCCAGGAGTGAACTGCACTGCTGGCAGAGCCTCCCCCGCTGCCCAGCTGTGCTGCGGGCACAGCCCCCGCAAAGTGACTGGCTGGAGGGGCCCTTTCTGCAGCAGAGCTGTACCTGGCCGGCGGCACTGCGCGTGCCTGTGTGCGAGCTAGCACAAGCAATGTGCCCTTGTGGCTACCAGGACCGCCTGGTAGCAGTGAGGGTGCACAGCGGGGTGCATGACCCACTGTGGGATGTGCATGCTCACACCTCCCTCCCTGGCACGCAGGGCACTGCTGCAGGACTGCGGTCTGCTGGGAGGACGTGGGCTCTGGGCTCTCGTGGCATCTGCTACCTGGGCATCGCTGTCATCGCATGGGGTAAGCCTCCTGCCACCCACTCGGTAAGCCCAGCGTGACCCTGCTGCCGAGAAGCCTGCAGGTCCGGGAAACTGGAAAAGGGCAGCAATGTTATTTTGGGGGCTCATTAGTCACATCCCCCATGGCTGCCAGCCCCAGGGCTGGATCCTTCTGGGCTGGGAGCTCCCTCCAGCCAGGCCCATCGCGGGACAGTGCTCCCCCAGGGAGGGCCAGGCCACACGCGGGGTCCCCACAGGGTGTCTGGTTTCCCAAATGCAGCATGGCAGCTGGTGCATTATACCCTGGACTGGAGAAATGCAGCAGCAGCAGCTTTACCCACTGCCTACGCCCATGCCTATGCTGCGGAGCTGGGCGCAAATGTACCCACAGGACTCACAGGTGCAAGGGTTGGGAGCACAGCTGGGGCAGCACCACACAGAACTAAAGCTGCTAATTGACATCAGGAGAAGAAATCAGAGTAGAAACTAACTTGGTTTTGCTGCCTGTAGGATATTTCCTTCACATGTTGGCACTGCACAGAGCAAAACCTGCTGGTGCCTCTCTGTCCCTAGAGATCCTCCATGAGCTGGGTTATTTTCCAAAGGACCTTTTGTGATTGACCTAAGGAACAGAGGCAAATGCAGAAGTGTCAGGAGGAGGCTAAGATTTAGCTCTGAGGGGAAAACAAAAATGCAAAGGCACCCTGAGAGCAGAGGGTGCTGAGCGCCGCCCTCGGGGAAGGCGTTGGGGGCTGCCAGGGGAGCTGAGGGGTCGAAATGCAGGCAAACAGCACCCACCTGGGGGTTCAGCTCCAGGTGGAGCAGGGAGAGGTAACATAAGGCTGAGGGGAAGGAGTGGGCATGAGCTGTGTTGTAGAGAGGGTGTTACTGGTGGAAAGAGGCAGGAGAAGGATGGGCACGTAGTGGATAGGCTCCCTTGGTCCTTCTTGGTTTGGGAATGGGGTGTGCGAGGGTAGCAGGGTGGTTGCCCTGAGCTGTGCTGGGGAGGTAGCAAGGGCCAGGAGGTGGGTGGCAGGAACTGAGGACAGGGCAGGCTCCCAGGAGGTGCCCTGAGCTTCTGTCCTGCAGCCCCAAACTCCCAAGGGGTGAAAAGGAGGGCTGTTGTTGAAGACCATGTTTTCCTCAGGTTCAGCTTTGTTGAACAAAGTGGATAGTTTGCTCTTTCACAGGGAAAAACAGACAAATTATGTGAATTTTGCTTAGAAAAGTGCATAATTATTGACAAAACTAGAGCCCTAATTAGACTTGTGAAGCCCTAGATTTGCGTCTAATCTGTGATGCCCAGACCTTTGCCTGCATGACCACAGTGTGATATGCTCTCCTGAAGACACAGGGTACCCCAGGCCGGTTGTTCGGAGCAAACTTTGATTCCCATCTCACTTTCTGCACAGATGGAGATATGACCCCCATATGACTTTCTGCAGTTGTGGAGATACCTGCTTCTGGGGAGGAGGGGGGAAGCTTTTTTTGGTGGCTAAAACCCTTTGATTGCATCAAGTTGTGGTGCGAAATGCTGTAAATAAGAGCAGGGTTTCAGCAAAGTGCCCTTAAATCTGGGTGTGGGTTCCAGTTAATCTCTAGCTTTGCCCTGCCTGGTGGGCATGACCAGGATGTGAACTTGACTTTTGCAAGACATTGTTTTGCAATACTGAATTTTACAAGACTCTTCAGACCATCTCTGGCTCAGATGAGCGGCTTGGGATCCAAATGCTTTTGGGGGTGAGGGCATGCTTGCTGCTCTGCCTTGCTCCAAGCTGACTCTCATGTAGAAGTGTAAAGCAAGAAAACCGAAGTGGTACACTTCTGCACTTGAGGAAGGAACTGTGTTTAAGAAACCACCTCGATGTTGGGTTTTCCCCTTTGGGAAACCTTTGTGGGCAGGGGAGTGGGACTGTGGGGCTGGGCTTTCACCCCTTTTGCTCAAGGAGGGGTTGACATCGCTGCTTGGGGCTCTTCTGCCAGCTGGGCTCTGCCTGCCCCATCCCATGCTGCCCTCTGTCTGAGCCTTCACCCCATCTCCCCCACCTTCCTCATCCCTGTGCCGCCCCACTCCGTCCCGCCTCAGCTCCTTCTGCCATGCCTGATCCACCCAGGTCTCCGTGTACCCTTAGAGCTCCATTCTCACCCACACTTGTCCCTTTGTCCTGTCCCCTCACCCGGCTGGTTGCCAGCATCTCTTGGCCCTGATGCCAGCCCTAGCTCACCCTCATGTCCCAAGGGACCCCATCCCTGACCTGGCTCCCATCTTTTCTGCATCAATCCTGGACCTCATCCTCTCTCGCAGGCGCGGTGATGCGGATGGAGGTGGGTGCCTGGACGTACCACTACAGTGACCGAGGGGACTACACATGGGAGCAGGCCAGGAACTACTGCCAGACCTTCTTCACTGACCTGGTGGCGATCCAGAACAAGCAGGAGATCGAGTACCTCAATGAGAGCCTGCCCTTCCATGGGCGCTACTACTGGATTGGCATCCGCAAGCTGGGTGGCACATGGACCTGGGTGGGCACTAGGAAGGCGCTGACGAAGGAGGCGGAGAACTGGGCAGCCGGGGAGCCCAACAACCGCCGCTCCAACCAGGACTGCGTGGAGATCTACATCAAGCGGCCGCAGGAGTCGGGCAAGTGGAATGATGAGTCCTGCAGCCGGAGGAAAAAGGCACTGTGCTACCAGGGTGAGCGGGGGCACTGCAGCGCAGACCTGGATCGGGTGGGCTGGGGACCTCGGCAGGGTGGCCAGTGGCTCCTGATGACCATCCTCTGTGTGCGCAGCCTCCTGCCAGCCCTTCCCGTGCAGCCAGCGCGGCGAGTGCGTGGAGACCATTGGGAGCTACCGCTGCGAGTGCTACCCTGGCTTCTACGGCCCTGAGTGCGAGGACGGTGAGCCATCCATCCCCACCCCTCCCTCCCTACTGGAGAGCCTGAGCCCTGGTGGCAAAGCGGGCAAGTTTGTTATGCTCCTAATGGTCTGGTGGCACTGTGTCTCTCCCAGTTGTGCAGTGCGCCAAGCTTGAGCCCAACGGAGTACACATGAATTGCAGCCATCCCTTCGGAGACTTCAGCTACAACTCCACCTGCACATTCGAGTGCCAGGTGGGGTTCGAGCGGCGAGGAGCAGGCATGCTGAGGTGCCTGCCTTCCCAGCAGTGGTCAGCAGAGACCCCCACCTGCACAGGTAGAGCCTGCCAGGAGCTGGGGGTCTCAGGGATGTGGCACTGATGCTTTGGGGGGCCAGCCCTGTGCGCCCAACATTGCTCAGGCAAGCAATGGGCTGGGCTTGCTGTGCCCCTGCCCTTTGGGGAAGCAGCTCCTGGTGCTGCATGCAGGGAGCGATTTCCCGATGAGGCTGCAATGGGCAGAGTGGCTGTGAGCTCTGGATAAGCCCCCTGCTCTCCCCAGCCGTTCCCGTACTCTTGCTCCCTGTCCTGAATCACATCCAGGCACCAGCACCCTGCACACACCATGTGCGGGGGCAGGATGGTGTCTTGGCATCTCCGTCACCTCAGTGGCACCATCTACTCCTCCCTAAGCCCACCCTGATCCACCTTGGGAAGGTGCTCGGCATCTCAGGGGTCCTCAGAGAAGAGTGAAGGGGGGCTGCTGTCCCACAGCTGGGGGAAGGGTGTGTACTGGCAGGGCTGGGCTGCCACAAGCAGGGTGAGGACCGGTGAGATGAGGTTAGATATAAGCTGGGAGGGACAGAGTGGGGCAGGAAGCCGCAAAGGAGAGAAAGCTGTGGTATGTTACACTGCAGGGGCAGGGAAAGTCTTCCTGTCAGCAGCTTTAAGGTTTGCAGCCAGGCGCCCCAGAGAGGTGCTGAGCTTTTCTGGGGAGATGCGAGAGCCCTGCTCCACCATCCCTGTGCTGCTGCGTGGTGGATCTGCAGCCTTGCACAAGGATGGGACGAGTTGAAGACTGGAGCAGACATGGGACACAACTGAGGACCCTCTGTATCAGGAGACCCAGCAGGAGGTGTCAGGGGCTGGGCAGGGTCTCTGTAGATATATTTAAAAAAAAAAAGCCTGCCTTAAAGTTAGTGCTGCCAATGACACCTGTGCTGGGTGGGCCTGTGGTCCAATATGGGATTTGTTTTAGGCAGCTGAGACCAGCAAAGCTTTCTGCATTTAAGAGGAACGGGCACGGAGATGTGATGTGACTGTCCTGTGGCCAGTGTCCCCAGCGGGGTAGGGTCAGGAGCTGGCTCCCAATTTTGTGGAAGTTTTGATGATCTTAAAGGTCTTTTCCAACCTAAACGATTCTATGACTCTATTTGATGAAGTCCCCTCAGGCAAGCTGGGCTGAGCCTGTCCGCTCCAGGCTTTTCAAGTTCCCAAAGGCTTGCTTTCCCAGCTTGTTGTTTTTTTCTGCTGGCTGTACGTGTGATGATTTTTCTTTTTTATGAAGAATCAGATGAGTCAGTCGGTCACCCTTCCTGATAACGAAGCTGTGTTAGCAAGCATTGCCAGCTGGGTTTACTGCAAAAATGAGCAGAGGGTCCTGCTGCCGCAAGGCTGACGGTGCTGCGGGCACCGCGAGGGACGAGGCTGCCTGCCCTGCCCTCACGCGCCCTGCCCTCTGTCTGCCTGCAGCCATCGCGTGCCCCCAGCTGGCTGCCCCCGAAAGGGGCCGGGTCGATTGCTCCCACCCCAATGGCACGTTGGCCTTCGACTCCACATGTGCCGTCTCCTGCCAGGAGGGGTTTGAGCCGACTGGGGTGCAGAGGCTGCGGTGCACGGCCGACAGGGTCTGGACGGGCCCCCCCCTGCGCTGCAAAGGTAGAGCCCGAGCTGCATGCTGGGGGGTGCCTCAGCGCTGGGTTTTTGGGGCCCTGATAGACAGCTCCAGGGATTCTGTGGGAAACCAGGCTTGCCTGTAAAATAGCTATGAAAGGAAAAGTCTACCGAGGAAAGTGTTTGGTGTCAGTCTGAAAGCAGAAGGTGCAGGGAATGGGGTCTGTCTCACCCAGGCTGGGTGCCAGTGGAGTTAGATGTCCTCCTGGCACTAACCTGCAGTGGTCCTGCAGTCAGCAGAGCCGCTCGCACCAGCAAATGTCGGGTGCTGTCCCAGCACACAGCAAAGCATGCCCCAGAGACAGCCTGGGGAGGCTGGCATGCAACCCCTATAGCTATTGCAGTCAGCCCCTCCTGGTCCCCTGCAGCCTCACAGCCATCTGGGCGTCCTTCCCCCTGCTGCTGGGACAAGGATGGAGGCAGGCCTCTGCTCCACCCCAGGGAGGGAGGCAAGTAGGACTGTAGCAGCCATGGTCCTTCATCCCGGGGCTGCGACCTAGTACCCTAGGGGATACACCCTAGTGCAGGGGATAAACAGGGCTCTGGCAGAGCAGCAACTGCCCCCCCAGGAAATCATTCGTATGGCAGAAAAGTCATTGTACCAACTATGTTACTACTGTTTTTGAAGAGGTGAGACTTGTCTGGGTGAGAAAGGTAAATCAAAGACATATCACCATAGATTTGGTTTTATTTGATTGGGCTTCAGCCCTAACCCCTAGATTTAACCTCATCTATCCTGTCTCTGAGACCTGCTCTCCCATTGCAGCTATCACCTGCCCAGTGCTCAGCGCTCCGGACCGGGGAGAGCTGAACTGCTCCCACCTCCATGGGGACTTTGCCTTTGGCTCCATGTGTGCCTTCTCCTGCCAGACAGGGTTCGCACTGATGGGGTCGGAGAGCCGTGAGTGCACGGCCACGGGGACCTGGACGGGGGATGCCCCGCACTGTGAAGGTAGAGCTGCTGCTAGAGCTCAGGGTGCCATTGGCCTTGGGGTGACACTAGGATGTTCCCCAGCCTCTTGGTCCCAGCAGTTTAGTCTCCCAGTCCCCAGGCTCCTCCTTGAAGTGTGCCTCTTTGCCCTGCAGCCATCGCCTGCCCGGTGCTCAGTGCGCCAGACCCAGGAGAGCTGAACTGCCCCCACCTCCATGGGGACTTTGCCTTCGGCTCCACGTGTGCCTTCTCCTGCCAGACAGGGTTTGCACTGATGGGGTCAGAGAGACGCGAGTGCATGGCCACAGGGACCTTTTGCCTTCGGCTCCACGTGTGCCTTCTCCTGCCAGACAGGGTTTGCACTGATGGGGTCAGAGAGACGCGAGTGCATGGCCACAGGGACCTGGACTGGGGACTCCCCACGCTGTGAAGGTAGAGTTGCTGCTCAAGGTGTCACAGGCCTTGGGTTAACCCTAGGATGATCTTGGATGTCATGGTCCTCTCATTCCGACAGTTTAGCCTTATAGTCCCCAGGCTCCCACTTGAAATGTCTCTCTGTCCCTGCAGCCATCGCCTGCCCGGTGCTCAGTGCGCCAGACCAAGGACAGCTGAACTGCTCCCACCTCCACAGGGACTTTGCCTTTGGCTCCACGTGTGCCTTCTCCTGCCAGACGGGGTTTGTGCTGATGGGGTCAGAGAGCCGCGAGTGCACGGCCACGGGGACCTGGACGGGGGATGCCCCGCACTGTGAAGGTAGAGCTGCTGCTAGAGCTCAGGGTGTCACTGATCTTGGGGAACATGCTTGCGTCTCCCCAGCCTCTTGTTCCCAGCAGTGCAGTCTCCCAGGCTTCTTTTTGAAGTGTGCCTCTTTCCCCTTGTAGCCATCAAATGCTCAGCACTGGCCACCCCCAGGATGGGCCAGGCTGCCTGCTCCCACCTCCATGGGGACTTTGCCTTTGGCTCTACGTGTGCCTTTTCCTGCCAGACGGGGTTTGTGCTGATGGGGCCGGAAAGCCGCAAGTGCATGGCCACGGGGACCTGGACTGGGGACACCCCGCGATGCAAAGGTAGATCTTGTGATCACACGTGTGTCTGGAAATGCTCTGTTGTAGCAGACTGCTTTCCCCAGCATCCCCTTCCCCTTAGCACCCCTGATCCATGGCAGCTCATCCCCTGGCTCCCCAGCCCATGTGTCCCCATCCCACCACTATTGGTCCTGTCCTATTGATGCTACCACTGTGCTTTATCTCCAGCCATCAGCTGCTCGGTGCTGGACCCCCCCAGCAGAGGCCAGCTGAACTGCTCTCACATGCACGGGAACTTCACATACAACTCCACATGCACCTTTTCCTGCGAGGACGGGCTTGTTCGGATGGGAGCAGAGGTGCTCCGATGTGCGGCCACAGGGAACTGGACCAGGCATCCCCCTGTGTGTGCAGGTACGGTGGGACCCCCCACTCCCCTAGGGTGGGGCGGGGGGGGGGGC